TGAGTCAACCCTGAGCCGGTGAGATTTGAACCGCTGACCTGCTGATCTAGCAGTAGCCTGCAGTGCTGCATTTAACCACTGCGCCACCTCAGTGCTACTGTTATCATGGAGAAAAATTTATGTGGTCACTAAGAATTGACACCAACTTGTTTGCACCTAACAATCATATATATTTTCCAATTTACTGGAATCCTGGAATCCTTGTTCTTCCAAAAATATTAAGCGTGATGTATGCCCATTGAAAGTTTTCCCATTTCTGAACTGCGTAGCTTAAATTAAATAAAAAATAGTTCAATCCTGAAACTGGGATTTGGGGGTGGGGGTGGGGAACAGACCTTGATCAATTTACAGCTTAATTTTCTTTATTACAGTCTGTGTAACTCCTTCAGCCCTGCTCATATTGATTTTGCCAAATCAGTTATCAATACTTAATCATTAAACTATTAAATTATTAAATAAAAATTAGTTCAGCCCTGAAACTGGGATTTTTTCAGGCCTGCTCATATTGATTTTGCCAAATCAATTATCAATACTAACATGTTTCAACCAATTCAAAATGCATTACATGGGCAGTATAATTATAAAGCATATAAGAGACGTAAATTAGCCAGTGTATTCAATTAATCCAATTTCCTGGTTTTGTGATACAATAGATCATAGAGTAACCACATAAACCAACCAACAATAAATTTATAAATTGTGCAACAATGTATGGTATAAACTAGCATGTTTATCCAAACTTGTCCCCATTATAGAGTAAAAATGTTCTATTTCCTTGTAAAGTAACCTCTCTTGATTTAACAATAAAACAATCTAATCTTAAATTAAGAGAAAGAGATGGATTAGAATCTGATTTAAATGCTGTATCTCAACTGTTGGCTTGGTTATAGTTTGACACTAATATCCAGTCAAAATAATATATCAGGTTCCAAACCCCCTTGGCTTTGCTGTTTTCATTATTTCTAGAAAATTTATAACACTTCCCAAAATAGCCAATATGCAGAGACAGCATCTGAATTGAAGAAGCCAATTGAAAATTAGATAAAATTGTTTTATGTTACATTCTTTTGATTATGTGCTGTGTTTCTAAATTCAATTTTGCTCACAATGTGACTATGAAAGCAAGATTTTATTAATGACTGTCCCAGTCATTTAGACAAATTCCAATTATAGCTAAATATAAATTCAATCTACTGAATTTCTGAAACTTTCATGGACATCATACATTTACTATTAATATACCGTAATTGCATTATGGGGGTCACTTCTTCACCTTAAATGTTACCCAACCATGTTGAAATCCTTTGAAGTTGGAACCTCTTGTCCTACAGAGGCGTACAAGCTATCACCCCCCTCTGAAATCCATGAATATGTAATTAAAATCTTCTCCAGAAAGTCCCCAATCTTCTGCAACAAATTTGGATGATATTTAAGCGGATCAAGGAATCCTTTTCAAAAGCAAATTCCAATCTATGAAGAGACATCATTTCACAAATGCTACATTACCATGCATATGAAAATGTCCAGTAGCAGAAACAAAAGTAATTCTGAAAGAAAGAAAAAAAATGCACAAAAACTGTAACAACTCAGGAAATTGGTGCTCAAATAACCAGGGAAAAAGCCAAGGACTAGTGATCTGAAGGGCAGAGGGGGGAAATTCTCTCCAGATTTGTTTCCATCCCACTAAAAAAAATAATCCATTAGAGCATGTTAATGATGCCTCCTCCTCAACGCAACAAAAGTTGGCAATATTGTTTCAACTCATGATGACTATCCTATGCTATTGTAAGAGAATATTTTGATTTCTAAATTTAAGGTTTTTTGTAAATGCAACTTTTATAATTTCACATGTGCAGCTTTTGTTGGCAATATTGTTTCAACTCATGTATCCTATCCTATTATAAGGGAATGTTTTGATTTCTAAATTTAGGGTTTTTGTAAATGCAACTTTTATAATTTCGCATGTGCAGCTTTTGTTGGCAATATTGTTTCAACTCACCTATCCTATCCCATTATAAGGGAATGTTTTGATTTCTAAATTTAGGTATTTTGTAAATGCAACTTTTATAATTCCGCATGTGCAGTTTGTTGGCAATATTGTTTCAACTCCTGATGACTATCCTATTATAAGGAAATATTTTGATTTCCAAATTTAGTTTTTTTTGTAAATGCAACTTTTATAATTTCACATGTGCAGCTTCTGTTGGCAATATTGTTTCAACTCCTGATGACTATCCTATTATAAGGAAATATTTTGATTTCCAAATTTAGTTTTTTTTGTAAATGCAACTTTTATAATTTCGCATGTGCAGCTTTTGTTGGCAATATTGTTTCAACTCATGTATCCTATCCTATTATAAGGGAATGTTTTGACTTCCAAATTTAGTTTTTTTGTAAATGCAACTGTTATGATTCCGCATGTGCAGCTTTTGTTGGCAATATTGTTTCAACTCATGTATCCTATCCTATTATAAGGGAATGTTTTGACTTCCAAATTTAGTTTTTTTGTAAATGCAACTGTTATGATTCCGCATGTGCAGCTTTTGCAAACGGGAGACTCCTTTTCTCCTCCACCGAAGGACTGCGGGGTGTGGAAGGGGCCCAACCACTCCCTTCCAGAAAGTTGACCGTCTCACACCCACAATGGGAACCGGGCCCACATCCAGCGGGACAGAAACCAGGTGGGCCCAAATGCTCAGTGGGGGAGAAAACACACCCAACACCGGGAACCCGGTTCCCCTCCGGGAACTCCGGGGCTTTGCGCGACTCTTTCGACAGGGACGCCCGAGGGAGGCTTCCGAAAAGGCCGGCGCGGACTCGCAGCAGCAGCA